TCTCCAAGTACTCTCTCCAAGCGTGCTAGATATCCTGTATAGCTGTGTAGTACCTTTTCTTCCTCTAAATGGCCCCAGAAATCTTCATGCTTTTTAGGCATCAGCTCTAAACTCAGTACGGAGGCTGTTATATCATCCCTAGTATTATAACTCAATTTTTCTTCCTCAGAGGAAGCATCCTTTCCAGATTCTAAAGAACTGTTATGTGAACTAATGTAGAATTAATAAAGTTACAGTCTCTCTCCCCTACTCTGCCCCCTATATACTGATGTAAAAATTATTAGGAAATACTCCTTTTGAACTCCATGTTTAAATCTACCTGGATGGTCTCTCTAGGGGTACCCTGAATGTAATAATGTGGTTTGTAAGGATATCCTGTTAACAGTGAGATGAAGAGAAGAAGGAGAAAAAGTAATAAACTGAATACCAAATACACTAACCCTAACAAGCAGTAAGGCAGACTAACAGAAACCTGAACTCTTAAGTCACTGATAGATGAACACTAAAGGAACCACACATGCACAACCTTGAGAACGTTCACACAGAACTTTGTAACTGATAAGAACAAGAGAAACAAGGTTATCTGTGTTTATCAGTCTCATGGGAAAGAGCAAACTTATTACAGAATATTTGAAAGGCACTGAGACTGTGTGGAAAAACCAGCACCTGGAAGGACCCAAGGTCAAGGCCAGTGACTGTGTAAGGGCCCTATGGCATGGGTATGGATATTGGACACACTTAGGGCCCACACTATTATTTAAGGGATCAGTGAATGTGAGTGTACTTGTGAATCAAGGGAGTGAGGGTGTTGGTAGTTCTGCTAGAAACGTTAACCTTGATCAGCCAGCAAGAAGGAATAAGCTTGTGCTGCCTGTGCTGTTCATATGTTTATGTGAGTGCTGCCTGCGTTTATCTTTTCTGCGTCTCATCTCTGTGGCCACCCATGTGTGTATTGCGTGTGCGCATCTGGCCAAGACGTGCAGCCTTACTAGGGCTGGGTCTGTAACCTGGAACAGCAGCAGCCTCCATCCAACAGACCTGCAGAAGAAACCTCCTGGATTGAAATCCAAGGGATTTGGCTTCCCTTACCAGTCTGCAATCTTCCATTTTCAAGAATGAATTTTGATCACAAAGTTATTGAATAAATTTACTGGGGTGAGTATACTCTTCCTGAAACTGAAAGTTTTTTATTTTATAAAAGTCTTTCTAGAAAGTCTGGTATGAAGAATTTTCTCTTTTAGCCTTGGAAAGAGTTAATTAAGTAGTAATATTTGGGAGAGCAAATATACAAAGGGTGAAATATCACAGTGTATCCTCCTCATTAAAACTATCCACTCTCCCATTAATAAATGTGTTTAGGGAACAGGAGACACACCAGAGGTACTCTGTTTCAATGCAGTTTCTAAAATATTTTCTACTGAATTAAGAACAGTATGAGCAAAACTAAGAGACAACATAACTTTGGACTTCAGGTGGTACAAATCAGCACCATTTCATTAGCACAAGGGCCACAAAATATCTCCAGTTTCCTCCCAGCAACAGCAGTATCTTCTGAAAGATCCCCCTGTGACCTGAAGTCTAACTGCTCTCATACCTCTACAACCATAGTTGTTTAACTTCTTCCAGGGAGATACTCCCTGCACCTTGCAGTATGAGGCCCCTGAAGACAACCTCAGTTTGTTTGCTACTAATACCACCCAAATTAAATAAAATTTTAAAAAGTTACTTCTAGCCATCTTCTCACGTTGATCATCCCACGCTCACCACATATCTTACTTGCTGGAAAGTGAGTTAAGAAATAAGGCTCCTATTCATTTTTCCTTCAGCACCAACGGGCATTTTTCTGAGCTTGGGTTAGTATACAGAAAGGGAGGTTATTAAGAAGCGAGATGAATCCCTCTCTGCTACAATTTTCATCCTAACAGCAGCGCGTTTTCAGTTGAAAACCTGAAAAATGGAGTGTGAAAACAAGTTCTGAATACGCTATTCACTTTTCCCTTTATTGTTGTTTATAACATTTTACACATTTCAAAAGAGCTCAAACCTGTACCTCTCACTGAGCTGTCATTAAATACCCATTAATGCAGAATTCTTTTCACATCATCTTGATCAGTGTTACTGCCCTTTCCCTTGCACTCAACTGCTAAAATTTACTTTGCTTCCAAAACTTCAGTAAGCATTAATTACATCACAATTATACCTTTTTTAATTTATTTTTATCTGATTTTCAATTTTTCCCCATTTGCAGAGGAAGGAGAGGATAACAAAATGTGAGACTCATGAAGGAAACCTAATTATAGTGTAGATACTTTGCAAGCTTCCACAAGCCTTAAGGCACTGCAACACACATCTCATCTAATCCAAGCATCTCATGAATGCAGCAAAACATATTTCTGATCATCCTGAAAACTGTGCTCATTTAAATGACATTCACAAATGGATTTAAAAATCAATGGCCTGTGGTTACTTTCTGAATAGTTCTGCTCTTCATCAGAAATGGTTTTGCAAGGACAGTTCATATTAAGCTGACAGGCCATATTAACCTAAAAAAAGCTATTTTGCACAAGTTTTGATTTTAAGAAGTCCTTTTTTTTTCTTCCCCAAAGATCTTTTATTTTCAAGATTATACTGAAGAAACCCTAAGAGGGGGATTCTCAATGGAAGATGACCAATAAAATTACAAGCTTTGTAAAAACACTGTATACTTATATTTTTCTACCCATGTGCAAGATATAAAAAAACTGGATGAAACAACATATGCTTTCATAGCTTTCCGTAAATTATTTTGTTTTTCTAAGTCACCATTTTAAACCCAATGTTTATACAAAACCAAAACACGTTTGTCTCTAGTGGTCTTCTAATTTATCTATATAATAACTTCAATAGAGTTAGCATGTTTCAAAAATTGATTTAAAGAAAAAAATAAAACCTGCCAAAATTACAAACCAGGAAACTACACCAAGCATTAGCTGCAGCAGGAAGAAAAGGAATTAAGAGGAGAAAATACGAATCAAGATACAGACATTTGAAACTTGCTGAAAGTGAAGGAACAGAAGAAAGTTAAATTGATGAAAAAGTTAAGCAAAGATCTTGAACAAATCTGAAGCAAAAGCAGAGAGGAAAAATTTAACCACAGCTTTTTCAAAAAGCTAGGAAGGAGAAAGAGACAGTTGTAACCAAATTCAGTAACCAAAGTGGAAAATCAAGAAACAGACAGTTGTCATATCTGGCTGTTAGAAAAGATGTCAAATGGACAAAGAAAAGATCTACAGCAGTCTGCTTGCGGGAAGGAAATTAAAAGAAAGATGGGAATGAAATAATTAGCATTTTTGTCATACTACCATTCATTTTTTTTATTTCATTTCATAAAGGATAATAATTAGGTGTAATGTGAAAAACACTTATGCAGTAAGGTAGGTTACAAGAATCTTGACACTTTCCATAATTACAAAAAAATTCCATGATGTTGATGATGTGGCCAGTCCTGTTCATTTTGTCTGCCTCGCTTTTGAAAAGAGGCATTCTCTTTTCATAGTATCTCCACAGTTGAATTTTTTTTTTTTTTAAACACAAGTAAATATCTGATCAATGTCATTTGTTCTCCTCTTGGCGTTAAAACGATGAAGCTGTGTTAACAGACCTACTGATGAAGTATTTAGTCACTGAAGTCTGATGTCAAATATACAACAGCATCACTCAAAGTATATGGATTTGCTAATGAATATCAGATTGATTGGAAAGTCATAAATCAGTCTCTCCGTCCTTGTTTATTAAGCTGCATCCTTGAAATTTGATAGCATTGTTTTCTGTAAAATTGACTATGATTTCACCTATAGCACAGAAAACATTTCTTTGCAGCTACTTTCAAATGCAGCACCTCACTGAAGAAGAGGTGAGATTTTTTTGTAGACGTCAAATGACTGTAACAGGACTATAGGAGTAGACTTTCAAATTAAATGTCTGAAGTATGCTTTGACTTTAGCTGGAATACTTCTGTGCCCAAACGTAACTTGAAGCTTTCACAAATCCCCTCCAAATTATTTTGTTCAAATACAAACCTTAACAGACACTAGAACATCTAGCACTAATCACGAGCAATCAGTGGATAAAGTCAAACTGGATAAAGTCAGCATTTGCGGAGCAGGGCAATAAAACAACACTTTTTAATGCTTTGGCAATTAGAAGCTTTGAGTATAAAGCAGGCCTTTAATAACACGTAGTCCTGGGATCTCGCATTTATCCATGATCTGGAGAAATCCAAACCCTTCTCACAATGATTAACAGAACTCAAAGACATCCAGCTGTGTTCCATATGACTGGTACATGACAACATCAGAAAACTCTGCTTTGGTCCATGACAAATAATACAGAAACAGTTTGCAAACTTATGGTCTGCAATCTAAAGGTTTTTAAATGCCAGAGAGAAGCCAGACTGCAGATACTAAAGTTTTCAAATTACAGCCAGAATTATATGACACTATTTGAATAATTCATGAAATAAATTCTGATAGCCCTAATAACACCGATGCAAAAAGTCAGCACTTTTGCCTACCTGAAATGTAATATTGAATGTCGAGCAAGCAGTAGTGTAAAGGCATTTCAGAGCCACTCTTTGCCTTCCCCTTCCCCCTAAACATCTTCAGCATTTGTTGGAGCACGTATGCCAGACAACACTTTCTTTTTGTGAAACAAACCCTTCCACTGAACGCTGCTTAAAAAAAAAAAAAATGATGCTCCCACTAAACTCTTACCGGATTTTAAAGTTGTAAATAAAGCTCCACTGTTACCAACAACTGGTATTGCATAAGGCTTTGTGTTATCCAGCTACTTACGTTAGAACAGTCTTCCTGTGTGCAATGTAGTCCCAAAAAAACTGATGAATTTAAATGAACTTGTACTACACTTATTTCACAATATATTTAAGTATTTTTCCTCACTGAGCAGTCCATATCACAGTACCTATTTCTGTACTTCAGTTATTGAGGTAGAAATCAACTTACCCTATGTTTTTCCTTTACTTTCTTCCTGTATTCTTCTTTGTCAAATCTGTCTTCTTCCCGCAGTATCTCTTTCGCTTTATCCAAGTTGATACCACTGGCATCATCTTCCTCATCTGCTTTCGCCAAACTGGATTTTTGCACAGGTGGCCACTGCTGCACTAACTAAATTACACATGTCAACAATAATGGTTAGAATCATTTTTTCCACATCAAAGTTTTGATGCCCTAAATATTCCAATACACTATTTTTCTAGACTAAATAAAAGGCCATTTGCAAAGGAAACAAACAAACGAAACTTCTGCATAATATAAACTGAGATACCTTATTTAACATCACATTCAGTCAAAAATGAGTATTTGAAAATAATGTCTCCATTAAACAGTGATATGGTGTAATAGATTCACTTGAACTTCTTCCCCTATTTTTCTCTCTTTGCCTAACGGAACAAATAATTTATAATCCTGGTAGTCATTTTGGGAGAAAAGTGATATTTACTTTCAAGAAATGACTCTCCAAAATATATGCAACAGAACAAAACACCAGTAAATCTAAACAGTATGTTTTCATGTAAACAATCAATATTCCAACATATTAACTGAGAGAAAAATGAGATAAGCCTTCATCACACAGTACACAAAAAACCTTGACTGCAGGTCCATGTTTTGGGGGAAGCAAGGAGGACAGACGTGGACGGTTTTATTGGTTATTGTATGAAAACTGGATTGGAAATGTTTGATGATGCGAGTTTAACTTGTGGATGACATGCTGAACACATCCAGCTTCCCTTAAATACCTGAAGCTCTACACTGAAGACAGAGACTAACTACATATTCACCAAAAAATATCCCCACCTATCTTATGACCTTGTGGTATGAGCAGACATCATCTGTGGGCAGTCTTTGCAAAAATCATTCTTGCTTACGGATTGGTAGAGTAGTAACTCTTAAAAAGAAACTATATAGCAGAAAATATAGAATGTCTTTCAGATACACATGCAAAACCAAACATGTTTAGGACTCCCTAATGCACACAGGGTGTTATTCACCTGGATACTGATAAAACCACCCTACTGTTTCCACTTCCTTTCCTAAAATGGAGTTTGCGTAGTTGTATATTCTAGGAAGATACAATTCTTAAAGGAGTTTTATTTTATCAAAGAGAAGCATGTGGAGTAGAACTTTAAAGCACAGTTTTACACAGCTCAGAAAAAAAGCAGGAACAACATCCATAGATGCAAACTTTATGTTTCCTTAAATAAGTCACCCCTTCTCTATTGTGCTACTTTTCTAATTATGATCTTTGTGCTATTTTTTTTCTCCATCCTCACTCCCTTTTGCTTCATTGCATGGATACATAAAACATTTGTGTATGTATTTTAAGATGAGACGACAGCTTTTGAATATCTAAAAATATCTGAAGATATAATTTCCAGTCAATGGGTCAACCTCTAAAACCTTTTATATTTTGTCTAATGTCAGTAATTATATGGCTATATTCTCTTTACCTGCGATATAAAATGCTTTATTTTATTTGGTCACAAAAGCAAATTGTATACTTGTAAAGGTGACCTCTCTTGGTTTACGCCTTACTGAAATTAATCTAGAGTAAAAAAAAAAGCTACTTTTTTCTTAATGCTGGAAATGGAAAAACAACATACACAGCACCTGAAGCTGTGAAATCAAATGTTAGAAAAGTCTGTGGAGCGTGGAGACTTGCTAGTGAGGTTATCACCACAATGAAACCCTAGAGTGACTATCATCCACAAGAGTTCCTTTTCATATAAAATCAATACATTTTTCCAGAGGCTATTAAAAGATCCAATTAAATTACTGGCAAATTTCAATGCACTGCTATATCAGAACCAGTAGGTGAAAATTTGGTTCTTACTTAGCTTTCCTAACAACACTTTCAATAGTGAATGCTGGAAAAGAAAAACAGGGACTTCCTCTAACTCCACTACATTAACTCAAGACTAGGGGGAGCTTTGGCAAATACCTACAGGAAAATTATTTTACATTTCTGTAAGGAGAAAATAGGCTTTTTATTCCACCTGAAATTGAAGATAATAGGCAGAAAAGAGGTACGGTTCTGTACATCCACTAACAGCTCTCATACAAGTGTCTTATACATACAAAGGTGAAAAGAGGTTGGTGCCCAGCATTCCTCTTTTTCGCAGTGGAACTGAATTCTAAATGGAAGCTGAACAGTTTTGCAAAACTTAAACCAATTATGAAAACCACACACTTCTGAAAAACATGTCTTTTTATACAGATATAAATTGTAAGTATTTTTGTCTTTCTAGAAACTATAAATTCAGTTCCCGCCAAAATACAGTTATTTTGAATTGATCTTACCTCTCCATCTTCAGTAAAGACTATTTTTGTGTTAACTTTAAATTTCTTCTTCAAGATTTTTTTTGCTTCCTGGGTTTTAGTTGTTTTTTTCTTCATCTTTGATTTTGATGCATTCTGTATAAAAGAAAATGAGATTTCTTATGTTTTTTTTTCTAGTCACAGAGTATATGCTTCAAACTTCCTTAAAAGCAATTAGATGTATTAAATTGTAATTCCTAAAACACATGAGTAAGTGTCATTTCCAGTAAAAATTAGCTAGCAGGCCTTTTCATAAAAGTGTTTTAAGCAGGCCGTATCATGAGGAACTCATTTACTCTGTTAACAATTCAGCATAACTTAAATCCTATCAGCAGCAGGATACCTGACTCATTCAAATCTCACCCACCTTTTTGGGACAAGGACACTAGATTCACCAGCTTACACTATTAGCAAGCCTCATCAGACAAGAAATCCAGTATAACTGACTGAAGCCATTAGCTACAACTGATCAGATACCACTTTCATCTCACTTGTCATCACGTTTTCCCCAGGCACCGCAGCACACCAGTTTGGGTTATTTCTGTGCCAATGAAGGGCACAAGTAGCCATGCAAGAACCTTCCTCTTCCGTAACTCTTGTCCCTTGCAGTCCCATCACGGTGCAGAACATCAGTGCTAGGACATGTTTACCAAACTTAGCATTAAATAACATTTAGAATCACAGAAGTTATCAGCATCATAGGAAAAACGTTGTAGTGAAACAAAGTGGTGAAGACACCAGGGGAATTAATAAATGAGTCAGCAGAGATTGTGAAATGCAGATACTAACACTGTTTCCAACAGTTTGAGGTTGTTCTTTCCTGGCTACCACTGAGAAAGCAACACTCACCAGAAAAAGCAAATATTATCTGCAAAAAAGTATCCCTGTATGAAACACACTGATACTGAAGTTACGGTTATTTTTTGTGTGCACAATCTTGCTGTTAGAAGAGGTGGTCACTTCTATTTCTGATAGAGACTGAGGATTTATCCAGAGTATTTTCATGTTTTGGAGGTAGTTTGCAACTCTGGGAGAACCATTTTAATTACTTCTGCAAAATGCAGTGGAAAATAAATTGTCACATCCACAGATGGCTAGCATAGGTTTCACAGAGACACCCATCTGGTGGTAAAATCATGGAACCAAAGAACGCAGAGATTCCCGACCTCCAGCTCTTCTTCCGAGAGCTCTCCTTTCAAGAACAAAGGCCGTATGTGTTCAGGCATCTAACAGGACACAATACACACCAGAGCGCATTTTAAGCAATAACTGCCATTGCAGGAAGTATTTCATAGCAAAAGATATTCCGCAGCACTACATGGAGACTCCACAGAAGATGACCCACAACTCATTCATCATCCTATAAAGACTGCAAAGCTCCGTTACTCAGGAAAAAGTGCATGAAAACCAGTCACTAAACTGGCTAAACTTCTGATAAATAATAGAAAGTGGTCAAAGCAACCAGAGAGAAAAAGGAAAACCTGAACTTCTTTCTCTCACTTTTCTTTTTTATTTTGGTCATTTTAATCAGTTTCATGTTCTATACGAAATCCACTATAAAAGGAAGGAAAAAAATTAACTCAGAAAGTCACTGTCATTGTGGTCAGCACACTGATGCACTGAAATATGAACTATAAAAGAGAAAAATTACAGTCTTCCTAACAGGAAAAACGGTTTATGACAGTTACTGTGCTGTGTTATCAAGTAATGACCATATGCTATTATAGAAAATAGTAACTGTAGCAGCACTTATGTCCTCAGTATTGTCATATGATTTTTGTTGCACTGTGCAGTTACTACTAACAAGTCTTAGGCACATCTTTAACAGCTCAGAAAGCTGTGTTATTCCCTCACTCCTGTTGCTTATCCCACAAACACAAATTGTTTGAGAGTTTGCATAAGCATAAAACCCTTACCGCAAAACATGGTACTTAGTAGAACAACAGGAATTGTCCAGAGGAAGAATTTAAAGAGAGATGTACTTCAAGGTGGTAGGATGACACTTCTCATTACCACAACATTTTGTTTCACCATTTGCTTTTGGTTTTGTTTCTCCCCC